CATCTGTTCTCGCACATACCCAGAGCTTATCTGCTATATCTTAGCATTTCTTTGGCTACCTGAGCAGCCTTCATAGCCTCGTACATTGTACGTGCATTCCGCGTCCCTATTGTTATTCTTGCTTTCATCGAAAGGAGACACACCTGCTGGATGACTGGCTTCCTGAAGGCTTTCACCATCCTGCTGTGTCACTTCGCCTCTCCAAATCCTGTGAAGAATAACTATGATTAATGTAATTTTTTGTATTTTCAATATATTTGTTGTGCGTTAAAGTTTCTCTAGTAGTTCGATTGGTTTTGCGGTGTAGGGTTGCTAGCTCGATGCCCAAGCCTCCCTCTTTACCCGGGCTAGTAAACTAGGTGAGTGCGTCGGTGGCAAAGTGGTTAGGACGCTCGCCAACCATGCACATGGTTCTGGGTTCGATTCCCGACCGACTCACTCCTTCACCTCGCTAAGCCAGAAATAATTCTGGTAAAGAGGAAAGGTTTGGGCATGAGGCTAGCAACCCTATCCTGTAAAGTAAACACTGCTACAGAAACTTCAAGCCACCAGCTTGAGGCCCTATGTTCCACTGAGAACGTTATTTTACATAGTCCACATTTTTTCTTTCATATTTTGTTTAACCTGTCATTTCCCTTGAAATCACTGCTTTTAAATAGCTATATTCTTCTCACCTGGCTTCATCGTAGATGATGATTAAATCTTGATTCTTTTCGTCATTATGTTACACTTAGTTAATTAGGGTGAAGACGATTTAAACAAATATTTAGTGCCACCAATAATCGAAAGAGCAGTAAAAGAAAGCGAGTCTCAGTGTTTCAGTCGTAACATAATAATCAGTTTCCTAAACCAATCTGTATGCGGTAATAAATATCTTGGTGGACACAAATGTGAAAGAAATTGAAAGCAGTCTTGGTTTTATCATCAGAAGTAAATTCTTTTAATTTCTTAATTACCATTCGTTAAGATTCACTCTTGCTTCCTTTTCACGACGTGTGTCTATTTGTCTTACGAAACCTGGATCTCAAATGGAAACTTATTCGATGAGAATTAAAGTGTTATTTTTCAAATGACAGTTGTGCGTTTGACTAATGAACTAAACTACTGATTTTGCTGCTATCTTATTCTGTTATCAGGAGTGCTGAATATAGGAAGTAATCTGATGTTAAACTGATATGATGAACAGGTTGAACTCTCTCAGCATACTTCTCTAAAGCCAGTAAACTTTTGTTTAACTCTCCCAATTGTAGCTTATTTAATATTTAGTAGAAAAGAACATTTTGTGGACTCAAAACAAATATCTAGCTTTCATGAATAATGCGTGATTAGATTCAAGTGAATTTTAAAAGCTGAAATTATTTCTACAGTATTAAAGTTTACTTTTTTTAAAAGCCTAAAGCTTCTCTTATGCTTTTTTCTTTGCTTGTATTTATGGATTGAAAAAAAAGTAAAAATGGCAACTCACTGATTATTATCAGCTGTCAAGATCTGTTAAAGTTTAACTTGTAGAGTAAGTAATAAACTGAACTTCTAAGTGAGAGTCATTAGTAAAAATGTGTCAGAGAGCATATGTTCCATGGGTTACCCTGCCTTTGTGATGTAACATTTACTGGTTCACAGAAATGCAATGGATGTTGCTTCACTGTCTATTCTGTCTTATTTGAATTCTTTCGACATATTTGGGTTAAAGTGAAGGCATAAAAATTTACTCATATTTGTTACTTTATCAAACAGCTGGCGAACATATGATGTAAAGTTTTCATCTAGTTTCACAAGTTTAGCATGTATAATTAGGTCAACTCAATTATAGTTTTTAAATTAGTATATCTTATTGTGTGATTGCTGATAAATATTTTAATGCAAGCCAAGAACGTGTGTGCGATCTAAGTGATTACACAAACTATCTATTAGTTTTTATTGTGATTACGAAACACAATGAATAAAGTCACATACTGAAATCATCTTTTTTTGTGCGACACACATTTAATTACAAGTATAAGAAAAAAAACATGAATATAAATAAGCCAGAAAGCGTTCACCTAGTAATGAACTTGGTTAGCACTCCTGAGGAGTTATAAATATTTTTGATCACAGTTACTTCAGTGGTTCTGTTACTAATATAGACACATGACGAAGTCTGTCTGTCTGTCTGCTTTCAACATAGAACTTTGCACCGGTGTGCAGCAATTCGAGTCGCCACACTTCACTCATCACACAAAGCAAGGGAAGAAGGTAAAAACAAATGCAAAATAGAGACAGTAAACAGAGATATGAGGCAAAAAGAATAGTAATATCGAAGAACAATATAGTATTTAATTGGTGGATGGTGACTAGCAGTGGAATCTAGGATGCGCGTTTCGTCCTATTTGGGACTAGTCATCTGAATGTACCTGCATTTCTCAGTGAGTGATGGTGTTCCTACCGAGGCTCGAACCCAGTGGCCATAAATTCAAACGACAAAGCGTTATCCACGGTTGCACTCACTGAGAAATGCAGGTACATCCGGCTGACGAGCCCCAAATAGGACGAAATGTGCATGCTGGATTCCACTGTTAGTCACCATCCACCAATTAAATACTAATTAAAAAGGCTCAGACATCGTCGAAGCATCTGCTCAAGAAGTCGACATGTCAACCTGAGACCGAGCACTTCGGTGCAATCAATCAACGGGAAAACCTAAAATTCAATTAGAAGAACAATATAGTTTTATTAGATATTATAAGTCACAATAAGTGGATGCATCTGCGCCGGCCACTGAGTTATTTTGAGCCATATCACCAATTGTCTCCAGCCTTCATTGGATTTTACCGTCCCGAGGACCCCAACTAGGAAGTCTACATCTTCACACGTGGCCAGCTTAAACTAACTGTTGTAGATTTCATTGACTGATGAAGCCATGTTTTGGTTTGACCACCACTGGCTCTTGACGAAGTCTAGCTAAATATGTAGAGATTTTCTTAGCTTTTTAATGTAACAGCTTCATCTGCGTATCTCTCCTAGAAATAAGAACGTATGACGCTAAATTACTGAGATTCGTCTTTTGTTCATCATCTAAGTGTTTTGTAAAGTTGATATATACAGTTAATATTAATGCGTGACGTTCTTACAACTTCAGGTATCTCGTTTACTAATTTCGTGACATTTTAAGTTAATAGACGAGACAAAAAGTTATAGCTTAGTAGGCTTGTCATCAAAAATAGTATTCAAAAATATATAACGTTTTGAAGCTGCTTTTTTTTAGTATTGTTAAACCTTCTGGGAGTGTTAGTAATGCACTTTCTGTTTAGCCAAACGTTCAAGTCATGTTTAGTTTGAAAGAGTGAAGTTCAAACCATTTAACTGTTAATGCTAAGAAATTATATGCGTTTCTACACCTATTTGTATACTGTTCATCTGAAATATCCATGTTGTTTTGGTTTAGAATGTCATAGTGAACATTTCAAAATCCCACCAAAATATCTCACCTTGAAATTCGACACAGGATAATTGTCAACTTAAATACTATCTAAGTTAAATATGGATTAAATGAAACTGAAAATATACTGTTAAATTGAGCGGTTCACTGTGATTGGAGATTAGTAACTAGTGTTATGCGTCTAGTTCTTTGTTTGGTGCAGACTGAATTCTATCAGTCAAGTTTGCAATGTGGCCAACCTTCTAGGTAGCTCGCCATCACGGTGTACGTTGATTTGATGGTATTAGATGGTTGGAGGCTATCGACAGGAAGCCTTGTACCTAGGTTTCGTGCTAGTCGGCACTCACCAGTCAGCAAGACGTGTCTGCAACTTTGAAGGAACCCATGTCCCTTCTGAGATTCGAGCCCGCGTCACCAAGTGTTGCAATCACAAACGTTACCACTGAGCTATTCGGATGTCTGACTGCTCACTTTAAGCTGAATAATAAATGACTATAATTAGTAAGCATATAACTTGTTCTTCTCTTTCTCTACAGTACTTCAAAGGTAATCATTCCTTAAATAGCTAATTTTGAAAAGTGATAGCGTATTCATAGTGGATACATGTGAAGTATATTAATTAAATTAATACTTTTTTAGGATAGATCGTAGGCAGTGTAATTAAACATATGCATTTTGAGTAAGCTTATTTGATGTTAACTTACAGGCAGCTGCCAAAGTGTCATTCATGTATATTTTCTTATCCTAGTTCATTGAGTTATTGTGAACTGCAATACAAACTACTGTTTAGTGGAATGAAGCAAATGAAGCTTATTTATTCAGGAGCTTAAACCAGACCTCCGAATTCAAAATTAATGCATTGACTAACTTGCCCTACCATAGCTTAGATAACATTCTTGCTATGATTATGTTTCAGAATGTCCCAAATGTGTTGCGCAAATGCATGACATGTTTCAAATTAATTAAGTCTTATTATTTTGTCTAGATTCATAAAGGGACCTATATTGCTCTAAAGCACATTTCAAGGTTCGGTTTCAGTTAACTACAATGATTTTAATTATCGTGTTTTCACTATTTCATCCATTTTGAACATTCGGATAAACTAGGTCATTTGTCACATAATATCGGCTTCTGATCCTCAATAAGCACTTAAGCATTCCCTTCCTCATACTACCTAAAACATTTTCTAGAATACAATAACCAATATTCGTTTGGTTTTATCAATGTAAAGGCATCTGTACAGCTTCTGGAAATGATTCTTTGGAAAGAGAATTTTCTTTTCTACTACGTCGTCCTTTTTATGACCCAGTAGGAGAGTTTCCCATTCATTTATTTTCTTGGTTTATTTTAATAACTTACTTAGAATTCAAAGCAGTATTCCTACCCACTGGTTGAAGTATACTCAGAAACAGATATCCGTACTACACCGTTAAGTGAGAGTTAATGATGCTGTTGCAACACATATTTCACTAATAAGCAAATAGACCAATCAAGTACATTTAAGCATCGCATAGAAAGACTGTTATTATTCCAATAATTTATTCACTATGAGTTTCATTCCCTGTTTCTTCTCTTATTATTTCAGCTTCGAATCGACTTGAAACGTTTCAGAATGTGCAAAAATGAATTAATTAAATTTTCTGCTTCTCAACTGGAAGTTATTATGAATGATCTCCATGCAAGGATAGAAGGTATCATCATGTTCATAGTTAATATAGATTTTATCTTTTTCTCGTTCTGAATAAACTAGAGTGTTTTATGCTGATTTGATTAAAAATTGTCATTGTTACAATATTCCAACTCTAATTAATTATACTGCATACAGTTATGATACTTTTAGAAGCTTAAAACTACCACCAGAAATAAATTCAGTTGTTCTTAAATCCCGGAAAAATACCATCTCTAGAAGTCTTTTATTCCCATAAGCTTTGTAGACCTTAATCCATTAACTTGAGAACTTGAGGACCAAAAGTCTTATGTTGTTCTAATAGGATATGTGATTGATGAATTTTATGACCATCAGCCGGGTCGAATTTGCAACGTATGTGTAACAATACAAACTGAATTGTTAGGGTCCTTTCTGTCTTCTGTAGAGAAGAATCCTGGCACTGATTTATATCTGCAAAAAGTAAGTATTTTGTGTGTTAAGTACACTGAATGGCTGTTCCCTTTAGCAGGACGAAACATATTACCCATATCATTTGTAGTACGTTTTAGTTTTCAGTAAAATATTTCGTGGAAAATAAGAGGTGATTTAAATTTAGTCATTAACATATGTCCTTTTTGTCTCCTAGTTACAGAGAGACAGTTTGGCTGATAGACTGACGTAAATGAATAAGTTAATTGTTAGATGCCATAATGGCACCCATTTTGATTTCGGGAACAAAAATGACTTGTTCAGTGTATCAGAGTAATTGAGTCTATAAATATTTAAGTAATTAGCAGTCTGCTATGTACATACCGCTATTATTTTTTGTTCTATGGTAAGCGTTTAAACACGAATGCACTGATTTTGCGTAATAATGACTTCTGTCGAGAATTGGTACCAGCTGTAAAAGCTTCGGAAGGCATTAAGTGTGGGACTTCTCAACAATGAACACCCATGATGCTGCAATAAGTCGAACTGATGGTTATTTGGTTTCATGGTAACCATGTTACTATGTAGTTGGATTAGAATGTAGTGGCTCAAAATATACAGCCTCAGCTAGTTCATGACTGACCTCATTCAATGTAGATGCACACTGGTAAATATTCCCAAAGAAGGATGAAAGAAATGCCTGGTAGTTCCCCACTCCTCCAACTACTAGGGACTCTGGATTATTCCATATTGCAATAAAGTGATTTCTTCAGAAATTGATTGTGCCCATTCTGAGCACTCATTGTATTAATGAATCGAATCTTCACAAACTCAACAAATGAGTATCAGTTCCTTCTTAGTTTTGTAATGTGCTAATTTCTCACAGACACCAGAAGTAGTCACTTACCAGTTAGTAACCAACATGAAAGATAACTGAAAATTGAATTTTTTTTAAACTTTATCAGAATTATTTCAATATGGTCTTAAATAGCCCAGACAAAATGCTTCAGATTTATCGTTAGGGCTGGAATTTTTAATGATTGTATTGAAAGATCTATATCTTTTTATGTGATCAATAATGTATAAGTTCTTCTTTTCTGTTTTGTTCCTCTCTTTGTCCACTAGGTCTAAACGATTCCCTTATGTTGTTATTAGTTGAAAGAGATGATCTTCACTTAGAACAAGGTGGCAAAATGGTTGCCTTGGAGGATATAAAGTCGTAAGTTATGATTTAAAAAGACAGCTTAGAGATTTAGTCATATTTCTGGGATTTCTCGTTTTCTTTACAACTGAGCTGTAGATTAAATTCATTTTACACTTGTTTGGTACAGTTTTCAGCGTAAACAGTAAGAAAATGGCTTCTAGTCTGTCTTTTACTTGACTCAATATATCAAACAAATATGTTGACAGCCTTCTTAAAAATAACGAAATAGGTCTTAGTCGAAAGATTTTACTAACAAGTCCATTACAGTTTCATTTTATCTCCATGATATAATGCGGTGTTAATGATAAACTATCTTGTACAGCACTTATACGGTGATCATGTAGCTAAACAGTATACGGAAGCGAGAAGTGGTGTGACAAGTTTATACTGACTAAATGGACTTATGTAGTGCTGTTCGACTTGTTGTCAAAAAATCAATAAAATCTTACTCGTTTCTGAATATCAAAATTCAGCATACTCAACTGATTGTTGTAGTTTTTTTTTTAAATCACTCAATGTGCTTATATGGGTTGATTCCAACTGTAATAGGGCAAACTGTTCAAGTGTGTGGTGTGTTCGGAAAACGCCAGCAGAAATTCAACGGAAGTAAGCGATGTGTGACAACATCATAACTAGGCGTTACTTAAACAATTTACAATATGTAAATATTTGAATCACAGATTAGTGATGGTCGGTAAAACTGTTTCTCATAGAGGAATTTTAAAGACAAATTAAAAATTCAACCTGCAAAAGGTAACACTTTCTGAAATAAATTTCTTACCTACTGGTGTTCTTCTAATTATCCTTCCTCCATGCCCATATTTTGAATTTTAATAAAGATGAAAAAGCTTGGAGAAGCCCAAAGACAGAGAGATTAGCTAACCTTCTTGAATTTCATTTCAAATATTCAAGTAAATTTGGTGTGCCATTATACCGTAGACCTATTACCAAGTCTACGGTTGTCTTCGTGTAGAAGTCAACACTTTTGAGTACACCACTTATGAGAAAAAGTATAACATTCTTCGTTGATTGTTGTGGGGAAAGCAGTCTACCTGATAACTTTGTCCACTTTCTAAACTCAGTGTCTAATGATAAGGGTATATTTTCGGTATTAGTCGACGAAAGCACTCGAGGAATGAGTAGGCCTGATAATATAAAAGTATACGGAAAAAAATAGATTTGCAACACTTCAAGAGAACTCAGAGATAACGTCCACTTTATATCCCAGTTATTTTAGTCACCTTTTTTTTTAACTCAAATTGCTTATTTTATGTAGTGACCACCAGAAATTACTAATGCCGACACATCGAACTTCTAGATTTGTACATTCTATTATTATTCGTCCTGTAATAGTTTAGTATATGATTTATTATTTGTTCGTGGTGGTCAAGTCTGTCAGTTCTTCCGATAATGGCTTTTCATAAAACTTATGAATTTATCCTGAACAGAAGAAATGTATTTTTAAAGTTGTTTTTTCGCCGTTATTTCACCACCGTGGAATTCGATTCGTTAACCAATATGTAGTTTTTATCCTTGTGATAACCGCACAAACTAATAACAAAACATTATTAGACAGTGTATTATGAATTAACAAAACGTTATACTGCTATACGTAAACTCGAATGGAAAAATCCACCTAGTAATTATGAATTACCATGGAAATCAACTTAATGAAGAGTGGCCTTTCAACCTCGATGACTTTTGGAAAATGGTAAATTTCTGTAAGCACAAAAAACACCAGGCAATGGGACTTACGGCAAAACTCCTTTTTAGGTGTGGGCGATAACATTATTTCTAGGGCCAACTCATCAATATACAGAGAAACCAGTTAACATAATGCAGCAAATTCTAGTCATTAAGTGATGGAAATTTAGTGATGTTAACATTTGTTTTGGTTGTATTTCCTTTCACATAAATATTTTGCAACGCATCAGTTTTAAATTGATACACTACATTTTGGAATTACTTCTTTCTTCTTATCGGTTTGTAAGTACTCTAAAATAAGTATTTGCGTTGAATCTGTGATTTTATTTTTCCGTAGTTAAGTGAGTGAATACTATTTTGCGTCCAGTTCATAAACACACATACACACACAATATTTTCCTATTAAGAGTGCTAGTTAACATACTGACACTTAGTCGTGAAGTGGAAAACAAAATGTGAAGATTTGAATACATATAATTAAGTAAACATTCTTGATGATTCTATAAAGTGAAAAAGAGTCAGTGAGTGAAATTTACATTTCTGAAGCAGTAACAGAACTTAGAAAATACCGGTGTACAGTTAAAATCTGTGGTCTCTTTAACCTTAGTCTGATTTGATTGTAAAAGAGCTCAACTTGAATTCATATAATTATGCAAACTAAGAAGTTGCTGAAAGGATTTCAGACGGAAGTCATCTAAACCACTTTTTTTCATTGAGCCTTTTTGACTAACTAGTTTACGAGTTAATAGTCACTGATACCTTTGGCCCAGTAGGAATTTCACTTTACCCTGCTTCATTCGCAGGGGACTTTCGGATGCATGTACAAGACTGACCATCAGTATTCATCTCACTTAGGTTTCTGTTTTTTGTCTATGCCCATCAACAACTGCTTTCTCTGACATTTTAACTTTAATCCGTCTGCATTCAACGTGACCTCGGGGATCATATTACCTTTTGTGCATTTAACCAGACTATTGGAACCTGCTTATCTCCGTCTCCTGTGTTTTATATGCTAGAGAAATACTTTACTGATATTCTTTTAATGAATTAAGTGTGATATCTGAGCGCTCGGGAATAATTAATACTGGTTAGTAGGACTAGAAAAATACTCAGTAATCTTACGGCAGTAACTAGTGTTTGATTCAATAATGGAATTCTCCACCTGTTACTATTCAATGACTGTACAACCTTTTAATCCTACTACAAGTAGACGACAAACATTTAGTAGATGAAGTGGTTTTCGTTTTAACAATCATGCTTAGCGATTAGGTGATTAGTTTGTGTATGATTATTAATTTTAACAATGTAGGGAATAAAGAGCTTGTGTCAATTGAAACTTCAGTTTATTCGGTTGAAAAACAATGTTTTTCTTCTTCTGTGGCAAGTAGAAATATTAGTACAACTTTTCAATTTGAGAAAATGCCCGTATTACTACTCCTTTCTTCTCACCTACAAGAAATGTAAAAGAATGATGGTTAAGAAGGGTGATGTTTTCATAACTAACATCAAGTTTTGGACTGTACGGATGTCAGGTTTTAGGTAGGCTTCATCAATCCAGTTTTCAACTGTCTTGTCATACGTAAGTTTCCTTGAGTATGTTTTTGTCGATATTAAAATAAGTCAAATGTGGTTAACTTCATTTTAATCACTTGAAGCAGAAGCTGCATCTGATTACCCCAGTTGTAATGCTAGGGCTTTACGCAAACTGAAATGTGCAAAGGAGGTTAGCTTGCGATTTGAATTGCATGTGTATTACAATGCTGTTGAATTGCTTTTATTTCCGTGTGCATCCTGTCTGAAATATTCCTATGATTATCAATTTCTGTTCAAATTCTTTTTAGGTGGATCAAAGAATTGAGTATTCGTTCACTAATTCCCCAAGTCAGGCGCCAATTTTTCCTCAATCTTCCAAGCAATTTATCAAGCAGCGTTTATAATGATGGTCTTTTTCCAAAATCTCAAACCCATCACCCTCTCACAAAGAAACCACAATGGATGACATCTTTATTTGGCCGAGTATCACAGCGACAGACTCTGTCACTATAAAATGAATTCACCTTCATCAGTCAAGAGGAAACTTTTTATATCAATTTTAGATTCAATTCATTCTGATGATCCCCAAAAATGCGTTTCCTTCATTACCTTTAATTCACCATACACTTTACCTTGTCGTGACATAACTATGAGTCTGATTTAAAATTTTATACAGGTACCTACAGGATGAGAAAAAAACATTTTACAGAAATAGCAGTAATTACAAAAGAATCAAATTTATCAGTCAGAAAATATTACTTCTCATCCTATCTATCTTCTGTTTATGTACTCAGATATTCATCGGTTTTTTTTCTATGGTATTTGGAGACCTCAGTTATAAATTTTGTTCATAATTAAAAATGTTTGCTGATGGGTTATTCCTTCCAACACTTACAAAAAAATATTGTTCTAATTATGTTATATTTTAAAAACTGAAACTATTTTCCACTTTGGCAGAATAAAGGATAAAGCAAACTATTTGAATAAAAAGCCTTGAGATTTTCCCAATGCTATTATAACCGACTAGTCGGTAAAATAACCCTTTTAATATGTGGCGCATAATATTAGGAGATATGCATAAAAAAGAATTCTTCAGGATAAAAATAAAGTGTTAGCAATCTCTGCTCTCCAACTACACGAGAGGGAGGGATTAATTAGTAAAAGAGAAAGAATTACTCGATATCGTATTATAGTAGTACACTTGTCATAAGATGAACTGGGCAAATGAATGTATCAGCATTTAGTCTTTGCGGATAACTGTGATGTGAACACTAAAATAATCAATGAAAACAGTTTCCTACTGTTCTGTGTAAATTTGGGCATAAACTTGGGCACTGTGGTAGAGTATAATTCCATTATGGATGATGATGATGACGACGATGAGGTCGACAGATTTCCTTTCTCAAAAAATATCAACAAATTGTGATGATAAACTCCCTAATTCTGATTATCATTCAAACTAGATAAGGACTGTGGTAAATATCTGAAAAGTTTTTAAAATATCAAGTATGCGTTTGTGAAAGTTTGTGAAACACTTCTGATTTTCAGCTGTTACGTAAAACAGCTTCCATTGTTTCTGCATTCTTAATCTGCACATTTACTCTAGTTAGTTAGACATACAGGATTTACTTGAGCATAAAACATCTGTCTACCGACTGTGGTCGAATGCAAATATCTGATTGGTATTAAATGAAGAAGTCATAATTTTTTCTGGTGATTTTCTTTACACATGATTAATACTATACGAGGTAATTGTTTTGTGAGCTCATCAACTAGGAACTCATCTCTAGGGTTTCACAATGTTCCCATCTGATGGCTTTTGAATTAATCTTCTGAGGATTCTCCGTTTTCCATCATACTATTAGAGGTGAGCTCTTTAGACCTAGAAGTCATACGTGGATTCAGAATGCCTCCGTTCAGATAATGTCATGGAATGCGTATTTGAGAAATTCACCGTTTAGTACAAATAGTAGAAATAAATAGTTCAGTGCGCCGTTTTTCATGCAATAGAGTAAATTGATTACGGGACTGATATATTTAAAAATATTCCTTGAAAAACAAGTATTTCGTCATATATATGCGTACAGGTACTTTTTAAGCAACTGACTGCAAGTTATTCTTTCCGGTTCTAAGATTCTGTGTACATCATTGGCTTTCCCGTCCTCCTGACATGGATCTTTTTCATCCATCACTTTTATGACAAGCTGTTGATATCCGTTTTCGAAGTATCCCTCTTAGACATATATCACATCATCTGGATAGAATGACTAACTGCTCCCTTCCTATAGATGAAATATGTTTGGTTGCTTAAGAATAATTTCAGAGAATGAATGAGTTCGGTTCATCTTTGTTAACTCAAGGGTCTGTGAGGGGTCACCTTGTTACTGCTGTTGAACAGATTTGTCATCACTTTTATGATATACATCAAACTATCGTGGTTGTCGTCTGGGTGACTGCAGTAGACTGTTGTCTCTCCAGTTAGTGATTTGTAAGGTCCACTTCCACTCAGTTTGCTCTTCAGTGCCATATCTTCTGAATTTTTCCACAACTTGATCAGAACTACTAGCCAGCCTCAGACATGGCCTTGAAATTCCATGTCCCTCAGCTTAGTTTCGCTTTCAGTGAAACAATGCACGTCGGCTGACTGGCTTCCCAAAGGCTTTCACCAGTTGGCGTCATTCACCTTCTCTGATTCCGACAGAGAATTTTTTTTATATTTTTTTTCATATTGTTCCTGTGCTTTGAAGTTTCCGCAGCTTCCTGGTTGTTTCTTTTCGGAGTAGGGTCGTTAACCTCATTCCGAGTCCACCTCTTTTCTTGAGCTTTGAGCGATCTAGTAAATTAGGCGATGGGTATTTATTATCACATTGAATACTGCCATTAAAATGATAAGCGAACGGCACAAGGAGAGAAGACGAGTTGTCCTCAAAGAAAAACTAGCTAATATATCCAAACAACCATCTGAAGAAACTCTAAATGATTGCGTAGTAAATCTGTCGAAACAACCATTATCGAAAACCGAAGAACAACTTCTTCAGAAAGGAGTCAGCTAGAATACTGGTGACGCTTCAGTAACAGATTTCTGTGCTTCATTAGAATCATCATTCAAATTATCAAAATTAAATGAGGAAGTACAACAAGAAATACGTCAATGTATCATACCTATACTCAAACAGAAAAGACATAATTCCCAACTTAGCACTGAAGAGCAAGATGCATTGAAGAAACTAAAGAATAGAAAAGATATAGTTATTCTACCGGCTGATAAAGGAAGAACAACAGTAATCCTGGACACAGAAGACTACATAAAGAAAGCACAGGATTTACTCAAAGATAATAATGTATATCAACAGTTGACAAAAAACCCTATACAAACATTCGATAAAAAAATCAGAACAACGTTAAATAAACTAACGAAATCAGGACAAATTACAGAACAAGATCAATGGCGAATGAGATCTAACGGACCTTTTTTACCTCGATTCTATGGTAGACCAAAACTACACAAACCAAACATTCCCTTACGACCAATCGTTTCGCTTCCAGGAACACCAACATATAATCTATCTAAAGAACTTTCCAGGAAGTTAAATTACCTAACAGAATCATGCGACCATTCTATCAATTCGTCAATCCAATTTTTAGAGAAAATCAAAAACATTCAGGTAGAAGACAATGAAATAATGGTGTCCTTTGATGTCACAGAATTATATACTTCAATTAGTCCAAAACTAGCAACAGAAACTATGCAACAATTACTCTATAGTGATGAAAACATAAAAACGCAATGTTCAACTTGGATAGAACTCATAAAATTATGCCTTACAACATACTTCCAATTCAATACTCAAATATATTAACAAATAAAAGGAACACCAATGGGATCGCCCATATCAGGATTAATAGCTGAAGCCGTTATGCAAAGATTAGAATTAATAGCTCTACCTATAATTAAACCGAAAATCTGGGTACGCTACGTTGATGATACATTTGTAATAATTAAGAGAAATGATTTAGAATATACCCATAAATTAATAAACAACATATTTGAAGACATCAAATTCACAAGAGAAGAAGAATTAGATAACAAAATCCCATTTTTAGATGTCTTAATCAGGAGAACCAACACAGGAAATTTAGAAACACAAGTATATACAAAATCAACGCACACAGATCAAATACTCAACTATACTAGCAATAATCCAATTACTCACAAACGAAACTGTGTGCAGACATTGTTTAAAAGAGTTCAAACACATTGTAGCACTCCAGAGTTGAAAAGAATGGAAGAAAAATACTTACAAACGGTCTTCAAGAAGAATGGTTATCCACAAAATTTCATCAAAAAGTGTTTAAATTCGAATCAAAACACCAACAAAGAACCATCATCAAAGACCAAAAAGAAATTCATCCTACCATACATGAGAAATATCTCTGAAATAACAGACAGAATAATGAAACCGTTTGATATAGATATAGCACACAAACCAGTCAAATCGCTTAATTCGATATTATGCAAACCAAAAGATCCAACAGAAAAAGGGGATAAAATTAATACCATTTACAAAATAAATTGTATGAACTGTAACAAGCATTACATCGGCCAAAGTGGGCGTCCCCTTCGAATTAGAATCCAAGAACACAAATCAGCCGTGAAAAGACACGATATATATTCTTTAGTATCAATGCATACAGACAATTATGGACATCGATTTGATTGGGATAATGTCGAAATCTTAGACAGAGGAAACACCAAAAGTGCAGTCAGAGAATTCCTAGAAGCCTGGTACTCAAACGAAAATGCAATTAACAAACACGTTAATATAGACCAAATATACCAACTAATAAAAAGTAAATCAGGTGACCAGAAAGTTTAAAATCCAAGTCAATAGAAAATGGTCAATACATATGTAAAGATGGTTACCGGGAGACGCAGTAATATCACTCATGAAGAAATTTAAATCATTTCACTTTATGCTAAATACTGCACTGAAGATGTCGTCCAGAAAGACGACGAAAACTCCGCAACTAAACCAACCAGCTCAGAGAACACTGTTAATCGCAAATCATCCACCTGAGTTACAAATCTCTATTATTTATTATCACTGTGTGAGTTAAGAAATTCTTGCACCTATTAACCATTTGGTATACTCATAAAATTTTCACGCATATATAGCCTAGTTTGTGTACATGAGCAAGAGTTATTTTAATGCGGTTATGCTAGAAATATCACCTATCCTCCTGATATTATTAGCTGAAAGTACGACAGTCAAAATAAGGATTTCTTTATGTTATACCATGCTGATTTCTTGCTTTTCATCGGTCTTAATAAACAGGCTGGTTTCAGAGTTTTCAAAAGTTCATGTTTATTTATTGATGATTGATTATTAAACAGTCAAACAATATCAAATAGAATAAATCAACAGCTATAATACAACAATGTGTTCTCTGTTATCCTAATTGAAGTGGTTTTTAAGCTGTGTTTGAACTTTTTACGGCGTATTTCTGTTAATCTGGTTACAGATGAAATAGGTTTTGTTATAGATGACACAGCCAGAGTAAAAGAAAATGACTGTTCTCTGAGCTGGATGGTTAGTTTGCGGAGCTTTCATCACTGTAAAATTTAAACTGTAAAGGCTAATGATAGTCACGCAGCTCAGATGTAATTACATAGTCAGACCTTATCATTTTACAAAGACTAAATTTGGTTATGGCATTGTTCTTGTATTCACCGAATATACACATTGGGTTGTAGGAGTTACTAAAGAGAAGGTTGCAGCGAAGAAGATTTTCTTTTCGACGAAGTCAGTGCCACTGCCCCACTACGTCAGTGGCACAGTGGTTAGGACTCTCGCCGACCATGCACATGGTACGAGGTTCGAGCCTGCGCCGACGCACACCTGATATCTATGGTCGGCCTGCAAAATTTGGGCTACCGATATCCACACTGAAAATTCCATATTTGTACCAAAAATACGGTGTGGAATCAAGCTGTAATCAAAAAAAATAAA